AGTTAAAATTTTCAAATAGGTGGCAACCCTCCAATTTTTTGACATATCATTGGTTCTGGTATTATACTGAACAATACAAAAAGAAAACTATTCAAATTGGTTCAGCCGTTCTCGAGTTTTGACGACCGTGACATACGACCACAACATTTTTATTAATATAGATACTCTATTTTTAGGACTAAATACCTATTTATATGAAAATAATAAAATCTAAGCACCGTAACCATCTTGCCGGCTGGCATTTCAAAGATTTGATTCTAACAAAACGGTGCCCAGTTATTAAACAAATGAATTTTACCAATTTAAATATTTTTTAAATTTTATATGTACTAAATTTTTCGTATGCAAAAGTTTCTATAAACTAATAGTATTAGTTACTAAAACTTCCAAGATTCATTATTCCACTATACGTATAGGCAAAATAGACCAAAATACCCATGCACAAAAAATACCACTTTTAGTACATTTATAAAAAATGTGGCAACCATAACTGAGCGCGACGCACAATACCACGTCAAAGTGAGACTGTGTTGGTGTGCCCAGCATTGATGTACATACATATGTATATGCACGTGTGTGCACCAATCTATTAATATCGTTGAATTATTTTAATATCTATTGCAAACTTTTATACAGACAAGACTAAAAAGTAGGAATTAAATAATATAAAAAAAAACTTTTTAATATACATACAACGCTTTTATAAATGGACTAAAAATTAGGAAATAATAATTCTCAGTCCCATAGAATTTGTTTTGATAAATTTTCATTTTGAAATTTTAGAAAAACTTATTACAAACCATTTATGAGATTGATGATAAAAAGCGTGGGGCGCATGCAATACAAAGCATTAGATTTAATTGACAATAGTCAAACTAAATACACAACATAGAATTAAAATTTCTACAGAGAAAGTACAAATTTGAGATCGATTTTAAGCAGTCGTTATTCATATATCCACATACATACATACATATATCACCCTTCATATAAATTCAGGTCTATTACATGCGCCCCACGCTTTTCATTTTGAATCTCATAAATGGTTTATAACAACTTTTGCTAAAATTTCAAAATCAAAAGTTATCAAAACAAATTCTATGGGACTGAGAAGTATTATCCACATTTTAGTCCATTTATAAAAACGTTGTATATCAAAAACTTTTTTTTTTGATAATATTTATTCTACCTAACATTCGCGTGAATATTTCCGAACCCTGTCCGCGAGCAAAATGGCATACTTATGCTTTTCACTGGCACACGATCTCATCAACAGGTATGATGCTACTAGTAGATGCTGATGCATAGCCTGACAATTGACATCTCGTAGGACATCGCCATGTTAAAAATACCAGTCGCTAACATTGAAAAAGGATAGAACGTGAACTAGCAGTGAACGTGACACCATATAGAAAAGGCGCGGTGCTCCTGACATATGCAGAGGATATCAACACCTCGGCCTGAAATCCTGGGATGTCTGCGCAGTTTGCTATTTGGATAAAACTGAGAATGAGGACTGAGAATGATCATTTCCAACCAGGGTTCGTATTTGCACACACATGCTCTGCTCACACACACGCCTGAAACACATTCAACTTGTACTCACTGCTCATACACATGTGCGTGCATAAGTGGAAAACAAACTCTGCTCACAGAAAAGTGTGTGCTGTTTGTTATTAAGCACATGCACATGTGTGTGAGCCGATTTTTGTACAAATTTCAGCCCATGCACATGCACATAATATATTTTTAAAAGAATTTGTTTATTAAACGTTATTTTTTGAAAGACAATTCAATAACAAGTGAGGTGTTGTTTGTTTTTTATATGACAGAAAACATATTAAAAAATTATTTTAAGATTTGAGATAGAAATCGAAGTGTATAAGTTTCTCTACGCAAAGCACACACATGTGCGTGTGCTTTATATTAATAACAAGTAAGAGCAGCGCTGTCTTCGGCTATGCCGAAGGCTTCATACCTTTCATGAACATCTGCAAATTTTACTTTTGACAGATTACTGCTTTTGAATACATCTGCAT